AACAGGCTGCAAATGGTGGTGTCCGTCGGTGTCTGAAGTGGTGTGCGTCCAGCAGGCGATGGTGGTGTTCGTCCAGGTGACCGGCGGCGGGCGGTGGACGGCGGACGGCGGTTGAATTAGTGGTGTCTGAAGGTACAATGTGAAAGGAGTGTGAGTGCGTGTGTGGTGTGTGATTTGGGGTGTAATTGAGGGAGAGAGAGAGAGTTAGTGGGGTTGTAGGTAGGTGGGTAGGAGGTGGGTAGGTGCCTGGAGGGTAGGTGTAAATGATTGGATTTAATGTGTGGTGTATTTTAAGTAAATGTCCAAATTATTCTTTATTAGTGGTCAAATCTATATATTTGACCAATATATCTGTGTATTTACTATATTGCCATTAATTGACTAATTTTTTACTTGATCATAACCATTGATATGATAGATCTAGTGGCACAGATTCATTCTTATTTCTTTCACTAGGAATCATTCTCATATGATCCCTTCTCTATATAGGGTTATATATATTTTAATATTCAATTATTTATTTTATTTTGAATTTTTTGCATGTTAAGTTTTGTTATTTTGCTATTATTTTTAAGAAACATATAACAGAATTGCTCATTAATTAAAAATTAAAAAAATGGTTATTAGAAACTGATAAAATTACTTTAATCTAGTCATATACATTGAAGCTTCAAAACATGGCCAATAATATATACATTCAAGCTTAAACTGAAGACAAAATTAGTTGAGAATTTTACAATCAAATTATCTGGTACCATGCTGGTAATTGAGCAGCTGCTACTACAATAAGGGTGGGTACCAATGACACAAAGTGTAAAACTTGATCAACACTGAACATAAAACTTGGGAATTTTGTGAATCATCGTCAAGTTACATACACGATATTTCATCATCTCACAATTGTACGAAACATAAGCAAGTCGAAATAGTTTCTGCAGAAATTGAGGAACATCAATTGTGAAATTGAGGAACATCAATTGTCGAATGCAGACATCAATCAATACTTACTACATAATAAGACCCCAGGCCAATCTTTCAACAATATGAAAAAGGAAAACAAGCTTACATGCTTTGGATCCTCGCTCAAACAACGAAATGAAATTCTCTTACGCCCTTGGAATTTCTTTTCCAGATCAATACGTTCATGAATAAATATTTCAATCCTCTCCAATACTCGAGAATTCCACAAAAGATATCTTACCATGTCGAATTCATGCTTATTGAAAAGCATCGACTTAATTCTTATGGTTCTTAGACATGATAATAGGCATTTAGGTACTTGTTCAGGCTCCAGACACAAATCTCCCTTCACAAATAAAACCTGCCGACATTAAAAGGAGCATAACAAAATGAGTAAAACAAAAGGAGCTATTGTTGTAAGAAAACCGAGAAATGGGTACAGACAAATTTAATTGCATCAACGATAAACTTCACTTACAATAAAGACTTCAAGATTGTCAGCAATTTGAAGGAACTTTAAAAGCAAATTCCATTCGAAGTTGAACAGGATTTCAAGTTTGGTTAAATTATCAAACTTTTCGGTTGAACAAGCAACTCTGCTTTGAACAAACTGAAAATATTAAAACCACATTACACATATATATATAAACAACAAAGCCGAAAACTAATTGACAGGAGACCCAAGAGATTGAAGAATCAAAACATACCTCCTTAAGTTCCCAACCTGATATCCCTAGGCACGTTACATACCACCGAAGAAAATTCACAACCGTGGTATTGTAACTTTGTAAGCGGAAATCCGCCTCAACTAAGGAGACCATGGTTATAGGAACTATTATACAATCAAAAGCATAGCCATCTACTTGAAGATTCCTAAGGGCCGGGGCTGTTAATATCATCCTACATTTACGATTAGGTGGACAGGTCAAACCGTAAAGATCAAGATTAAGCGTCTTTATTGTGGATGATGATATATTTATGCAGCCCACATAATCATAATCATAATCAACTAGTCCCTTCTCCACAGATGTGAATGTCATATTCAACTCCTCAAGGGACGGACAACCGGAAAGAAAGTGAGGGAGGGCTTCAACATTCTCGCACACAACATCAGAAACATGAAACTTCTTGAGGCTAGGTAATGAGACATTCTCCACAGCAGACAGTGACACAATATGGAAATCAAGCTTCAAGTCGACAATGGTTTTGCAGTTACATCTGGAAATCAAGCTTCAAGTCGACAATGGTTTTGCAGTTGAAGATGTAACGAGGGGATGTATCCAAGTCAAGGTCAAGATAAAGATTCTGGAAATCATGCTCGATGACAGCTGTAATCAACGTTTCCAGTTGATATCATTGCAGTTGAGGTGATAGAGTGTTAAAGAATCAATTCTTTTTGTCTTGTGCCGCAATATAACCATATGGATGATGTCGGAGGTTCGTATTCCTTCTTCATCCGAGTCTTGTGTTTCTTCTTCCGAGAAATAGTTCGAGGCTTGTGTTTCTTCTATCCCGAAATCGACTCCCCTAAAATGCAAACATGGCACATGGGCCCATAGAAATCTCCATCTTTTTCCAAGAATGCTGGTCGGAACTGAGAGCTTAGTCGGGAGGAAAAAAAGAATGTGGCATATGACTTCGTCCGGCAAGCTGCTGAGCCTATCGATCGAGGCCATGTTTTGCTCTCCATCCGAAAGCTTTAGGCACTTTCCACTTGGTTGTTTGGTTTCCTCCATGTAAAATCTGACAAAGGCCACCTGATTTTCACAATTTCAAATCAAGGCAGTAGCATTCAGAGGGTACTATGATACAGATATTGTGGGTAGTTAAATTCTAAGTCTAATGTGAAGAAGTCCGTAGGAAAAACTCTTTTAATAATGCAAGAAGTTCGTAGGAAAAGATCTTTTAATAAAGTCGCCATGAATTGTAAAATTGTTTGTTAAAATAAAGAAAAAACGAAACTAGAACCTTAATTAAAAATTCAAAACATAAACTTACTTAAGGCAAATTATGCCCATGAAAATGTGAATAAATCAAGATTTCACTGTTCACCCATTGGTTTTAGACAACCGAGTCGACGGGACAACCGACGACATGCATTACGAAAATCTAGAAATTATATCGGTTTATTGTTGAATATTTGAGATACGATTGTAGATCATAAGATACCGTTACATTAGATTCACAAGAAAAGAGTTTACAAAGATATTTTTCGTGATAATTCAACTAACATATCTCAATTGACATTTTGAGAAACTTCATAATAACTATACAAATTGTTATTTACCAAATTGTTATTTACAAACCGCTAGCCAAATTAGATATTACAATCCGCTATCGACTACATGCTATTATCCAATATCTGCCATTAGCTAATATCTGGACAATGTCTATATATTTTCAAGTAATCCGATTCACTTCTCAATCCTGAATTTTCTGTCAAATTTGAGTCCGTCATGGAGCAGCCGAGGGAGCCGATGCTTGCCGATGGAACATCACCACACGAAGACCTCACAAATAGTCTTGTATCTCGAGACATCTCAGCCCGGGAGAATCTATCTTCGCCATGTGCGTGCACTTCCTTCTCATGCCTCTCAGCCTTTCATTGTTGCAAACTATACTGCAAGCACAAAGCTGGTGCATGTGAATCTAATTATATCAATGACTATGGTAAGTACAATTCTCTCACTTGACAGCCACTTTCTCTGGCCTGAGAGCTTCATTCCTTCCTGTGGAGGTGCCTTAGTTTGTAACTTTCCCCAAGGGTTTTAGTAAGTTTCATTTCTATGGTAACTTCCATTAGCATTATTGGCTATATTCATTATCCATCTCGTTTTCTCTAGGAACTTTGTTTGGGTGCAGGAACTGTTTGATTGTACTGGCAGACACTGGAACTTTAATTTGTTACAGCAATTGTTTAACCCCTCTGAGATTTCAGCCATCCTCAGCATCAATGGATTAGATCCCACTAAAACTGACAGGCTGCTTTGGGACCGAGCAGCAAATGGCAAATTCTCGGTTTCTTCTTCTTATTCCATGTTGATGTCAGTAAAATGGAGGAAACTTGCAATACCAAAAGGAAGTCATGACCAGAAATTAAACACATCGACCAGGAAAAGAAGCTGGACGCTCAGAGTCAAAAGGAAATTGAAGCACTTCCTCTTAAGAAGCTTGCAAAATGCCATGCCTGTCAATTGAAACATGGTTAGAAGAGGCATGGACATTGACAGCACCTGTGCCGACTGTGGAAAAGAGCCAGAGACAATTGAACACTTATTGTTCCCCTGCCCCAGAGCTCAAGAGATATGGAAGCTATCACTTGTGTCATGGGATGGATTGATCAAAGAGACAGACAACTTTACAGCATGGTGGGGAAAGGTCTATGCACTTGATAAAACCACCACTTCATAACATAGAATTCAACTCTCAACGTATATCTTATGGTGGATATGGAAAACTCGAAATTTGTGAATCTTCAAAAAGACATGGAGGCCAGCCAAGTCAATTGTGGATGCTGCAACCAAGGAATGGCAAGAGTTCAACTGGCCTCATCTTCCCCCTTAGCTCCTTTTGATAATCCTTGATCTAGTTTAGCTTATTTCCTTTTGCCTTTAGTTTTCTTTTTTGTTGGTCTTTATTGTTGGTTTTGTGAGTATCCTACTAGGCCCTATGGTGCAGTGGTAGTGCTCATTTTGTCGAGCCTTGTATACTAGTTAAGGTTCAAACTTCATTTGATTTGTTTGATAGACAATCTGACTTCGAGCTCGTTGAAGATAGATAAGAGTATATTGATATAACTTTTTGAACTTTTACTATAATTTGACTCGTTAAAATTTATTAATGAGTTAAGCTTGAGCAAATTTATCATATAGAGATTGTACACTCAAAATCGTTTGATCGAAATAAATCAAGTTGTACAAAAGTTTTGTGATTTTCATAAATTTTATTGCCACAATATATATAGTACATAGTAATTAGTTGAAGCGTGTGGGCTTCTTCATAATAACATACATGATGATGTCTTAAAAGCACTAGTTTCATCAGTTGGCAATGACAGTGACCTTCAATCCATTGTTACAATGCTTTCGATTTCTGCATATTAAGTAGTGGTACCCAGGGGAAGTGATCGTAAAATTACTAACTCCGCCTTTGCCGACGGGACTACCCGGCAGGTTTACCGGATTGCACGTCGCGTAGTTACTTGAATTCACCTTATGCACATCGTCGGTAGGATCGGAATATATGAACACTGTATTATATTATTGTATATATTTTATCGTATATATTAAGACCACCCACCCAACACAATAAATTTAAAGTCAATATATATCCTTTTTTTCTTGTATAAATTAAACAAATATTCATATTCAAAAGAACAAATTAATTTCTGGTAGTTATAATGATTCTTACATATAGAGTCTTTCACGGGCACGCGCATATCTGGATAGGGTTGTTTGTTTTGGGGCACCGCCCAATACACGGTATGGGACTGCGGAGGCTGCTGGGCTAGACCCACATTTACCATCACCATCATCATCAACAAGGTCGTGGCTGTGGCTGTGGATGTGGATGTGGCTGCAACCGCAACAACACCTCTTGTTTCCACACCCATCTATTATTAATAATTGTTTATTGTGATCCTTTTATGCAACCAATATATTGTGTTTTTTTGACATGAAAGGAATGATGAATGAAATTGCAAATTTACAGGCTACTATATATATATATATATGATATGATATGATGAGACCATGAGGATTCTGCGTGGGGCGGGCCCTACCTAAAACTTTTTTTTATTATTTTTTACAAAACTTTATTTTATTATTTTTTAATTTGTATGGGCGGGCCCCACCTAAACTTTTTTTTATTATTTTTACTAAACTTTATTTTATTATTTTTTAATTTGTATGGACGATCTTTACTAAACCTTATTTTAGTATTTTTTAATTTGTATGGTCGGGCCCCACCTAAACTTTTTCTTATTATATTTTACTAAACTTTTTTTTATTATTTTTTATTAAACTTTATTTTATTATTTTTTAATTACTTTTTACTAAACTTTATTTTATTATTTTTTTTTATTACTTTTTACTAAACTTTATTTTATTATTTTTTAATTTGGATCTACGTGAGGCGGGCCCCACCTAAACTTTTTTAATTATTTTTTACTAAACTTTATTTTATTTTTCTTATTTTATGGGCGGGCCCCACCTAAACTTTTTCTTATTATATTTTACTAAACTTTATTTTATTATTTTTTAAGGGGGTGTCTATATGTACACCCCTTGTGTGTAAAAAAGGGGTGTACATATAGCATTGCCCTTTGTGTAATTTATTAAAAAGGGGTGTACATATAGCATTGCCCTTTTTTAATTTGTACTGCGTGGGGCGGGCCCCACCTAAACTTTTTTATTTTTTTATTTTTTTACTAAATTATTTTATCTATATATATATAATTGCTGGCATATAGAATTTAATAAAATATTTAATAAAACCTCCATTCATTTTCCCGCTCATTTTTTCATTAATGTAGAACCGTTACATTTTACATTAATAAGGTGTAATAATAATTTTAATATAATTTATTCACTACTAACACTAATTGATTACAACTTTACATTAAATAGTATGTGTAAGTTACATACTTACAAAAAATTGTATTGCAATTTTTTTCTTTAAAATATTTTTTCTAAAATAAAATATTTTTGTTCTTTTTAAGCGATTTTTATCTAATAAGTTAATTGGCATGAGTGTCATAATTAAACACCTTAAAATCACATAAACAAATACTATAACAATGATAAAAAATAATTGTAATACTTTTCTAACTAATTAATTGTATGTCTCTCTAAATTACTAAATTATATTAGCCATTAAAATTTATGGCATCAATATAAAGATTGATACGTAAGTTAAATAAATTATATTTACATTACACATTTGCATGTAGTCCAAATTTAAAATGTAATACATCAATTATTTGATATAAAATTTGTATATATTGTATACATAAATATAATATATAAATTTTTATTTTTCTTTGTGTATGTGCATAGGATGAATACTAGTTATTTTTTAATTTGTATGGGCGGGCCCCACCTAAACTTTTTCTTATTATATTTTACTAAACTTTATTTTATTATTTTTTAATTTGTATATGCGTGGGGCGGGCCCCACCTAAACTTTTTTTTATTATTTTTTACTAAACTTTATTTTATTATTTTTTAATCGGTAACTTCGTTTTCATTAGAATCTTTGTGATACACATGAAGAAATTGTGATAAAAGAATTACACATCCATCTTCGGTTATCTCATGTATAATATACTAGTACAACGTTCGTGTATTACACAGGTAGTGGTTGTTAATTATTTTTTTTTAAAATCTAAAATTAATGAATAAAAAATTATTGAATATTTAAATATATTTTATAAAAATATATATTATTATATATTTAGTATGATACTTTTTATTTGTGCGACTTACATGTATTATATTATAATGAATTTTTCAACTTACAACATAAATATATCAATTGAGAAAAATAATTATATTTTTTTAATAAATTTTAATAAATATTATTATTTTTTATTATTATAACGATAAATATAATTTATTTATTTCATATATACAATATGGATGTCAAATCGAAGATCATCAAAAGTTGATTAATTTGATATATTAATTATATATGTAAAACTGATAAGAAATACAAAAGTTATCAACTTTTAAAATACATTTATAATTCAATAGCTAATTGAAGGAAGCAAATCAAAAGTCGGGGATATATTAGTCGCCTAATTATGTAAAATTATAAAGAATTAAAGGGTTATATTAGTACAAATGATATTAAAATACCTAAGTTAGTTAAATAATATTTATGGAATGTCCGAACTTAGATTATTAATTATTAATATATCAATATTATTTGTCCAAACCTAATTACGAAGCATGATTATTCGTCAAGTAGAATTTGCTTTTGCTATGCCCGGAAATGAAGCTTCAAACTATTGGACTCGGCCTTATGAGACTGCCAAGGCTTGAACTTCATTTCCGTTTAGTTTTCTCATTTGTTCACCTTTTGGTGTATTCATAATTTGTCTAGATTAACTATTCAGGCCAGTTAATCTACAAATGTATTTTCTATTATTTGAGGTATAAAATCTATCGTTTCGAAAAAAAAAAAAAAAAACAAATTGTTTAGTTTGAATTCGTTAGGGCTACCCCTACCCTTTGGTTTAGACAATTGGTCTACCAACTTGATTTTATTAATATCATCCCTATATATAATTCTCGAATGCGCTGAGTCTACATGACTGCTTTTGGTGCTTCGGAATCCTACTTGGCGAAGAATCATGCTTCGTAATTAGGTTTGGACAAATAATATTGATATATTAATAATTAATAATCTAGGTTTGGACATTCCATAAATATTATTTAGCTAACTTAGGTATTTTAATATCATTGTACTAATATAACCCTTTAATTCCTTGTAATTTTACATAATGAGACACTAAGTGACTAATATATCTCTGACTTTTGATTTGTTTCCTTCAACTAGCTATTGAATTGTAAATATATTTTAAAAGTTGATAACTTTTGTATTTCTTATCGGTTTTACATATATAATATATCAAATTAATCATCTTTTGATGATCTTGGATTTGACATCCATATTGTATATATTGAAATAAATAAATTATATTTATATTTATAATAATAAAAAATAATTATATTTATTAAAATTCATTAGAAAAATAAAATTATTTCTCAATTGATATAATTATGTTTAATGTAGTTATATGTTGTAAGTTAAAAAAAATTATTATAATATAACACAGGTAAGTCGCACAAATAAAATGTGTCATACTAAATATATAATAATATATATTTTTATAAAAGGTATTTAAATTTTTAACTATTTTTCTCATTAATTTTAAATTTTAAGAAAAAAAATTAACAAGCACCCGTGTAATACACGGGAGTTGTACTAGTAAATAAGATCACAAGATTTATGTTAATTTTTTATTAAAAATAGGTATACTTATTTTCGTTCTTTATAAAGTAAACAATTATTTATTTATTTTGAACTTTTTGCCTTCTCTAGTTTTGTTATTTTGCTATTATTTTTCAGAGAACATGTAATAGAAATACCCATTATTTAAAAATTAAAGAGAATTATTATAAGGTAGTGACTTCAAAACAGTTTTATCTTGTCACATACATTGAAACTTCAAAACATGCCATTATAATTTATACATTGAAACTTAAACTCAAGACAAAATTAGTAGAGAATTTCTTGCTGGTAAATGAGCAATTGTTGCTCCAACAAGGGTGGGTACTAAAACAGTAAAACTTGAGCAACACTGAACAGAACATAACACTTGCCAGCTTATGAATCATAATCAAATTACATACCCAATATTTTCATCGTCTCACAATCGCACCAAAAAAAAGCAAGTCGAAATAGTTACTACAGAACTTGAGGATCATTCAATTTTCGAATGCAGACATCAGTACTCACCACATAATAAAATCTCAAAGCCAATAACTCAACAAACTCCAAAAACTCAATAGTAGACAAGCTGACATTCGTTAGATCCTCGCTCCAACAATGAAATTCTTTGAAGCGATTGGAATTTCGTTTGCTGATCAGTGCATCTAAAAGCTTGAGTAAATATTTCCATCCTATCAAATACTCGAGAATTCCTCAAAAGATATCTTACACATAATTCCTCTAAAAACAATATGAATAAGAAGATAATGAGACAGACTTGAAAAGGCTGAGAGCATTTATATTTATTTAAAGACAATTAATGTGGCTTAGAAGTTGAAAAGGGCAAGAGAGAAACCTGAAACCTCCAAAACCAAGGAGACTCTTGCGATTCCCATGCACCATGTGGAATGAAAATAATAGTGTCATGACTAATATTAAAAACACGAAAACAGACTGGAAATATTAGCATATTGATGAATCGGATTTAAGTTATTTAACCTTATCTAAAGTTCAAGTAATACAATTCATTACTCAAGACTTTCTCTCATATTTGAGTTCGCCATGGAGCACCCGAGGGACACGATGCCAGTCGATGGAACATCATGACACGAAGACCTCACAAATAGTCCTCATAACACAATATAAGCATACCAAACACAACTTAGAAAAAAAATCAGCACTAATAATCCAGAACGAACCAAATCCCAGTCGAGAACCTCCTAATACAATCTCAATAGAAAGCAAAATCACGGTGACACTCGCTCCAACAGCATAATCCTCTTGACCGCGTACAATTTCTCCCAACAACGGACTCGAAGGTGGTGAAAATAAATCACCGCCGCAATTAGAACTCTCGCATTCCCCAAAAGATACCCCACCTCCTCAAACTCATGATCTCTGCACCCGAACCCATTGATCCTCACCTCCCGAAGGCTTTACGCCAGGCACGATTCGTGCACCTGAAACATGATTCGCTACAACAGACTGTTTGGTGGGAAGGAAGCAGATAAGTTTGGTCTGAATGATAATCAGGTTCGGATCATGAAAGCATACAGTGCATTCCAACTATGTTCACATAATCATGATTTCAAATTGTGCTCCCCAACATTTTTTTTTTTTCCTATTAAGTAGATGTAAATTATATTTGTATATTCATCCTTAATTTAAAGAAATAAGTTAATGCTTTGATAATCTACAGTCTTACCTAAAAATAGAGAATTCAAATAAGAGTGTTAGTAGAAGAACCTCTACAACTCTATCCTAACTCATTTATACTAGTCCATGTATTAATTATTATAAATAATAAAGAGATCTTGCAAGACTTCTATAAATACGTTTGTATATAACTTAATGCGAGTAGTGAAGTTGATATACATAGGACATAGCATTTAAACACTGATCATTAGATAAAATAAGGCTCATATAAGACAGACAAAATAAGACAGACAAATGAAAAGGCTCATATAATTATGAAATCACTGATCATTAGATAAAAAACACACCAAATGTTAAACAACATTACTATCTTGCTTCACAGTGTTATCCTATTGGATCGATTCACTTATCTTAATTTATCAATATTTACTCTTACATACAATCTCTTTACGAAATGTTCTCCACAAAAGTAGTACTACAATATTGACAACACATAAAACACAACAACAATGACAAAATGTTATCAAACTTCAACAAAAGGATTAACCTAAATCTGTGCATGCACAGATTGGCAGCAACAAAAGCTTTAGCGACAGACAATAGCAGCTAGGTCAAGATGTAATGAGGCTACTTATAGAACCATTAGTGACGAAGCTTAATAGCTTTATTGCCAATATTTTTTCAGGTGGCCACTATCTGGTCGTTTGATAGTATCAATCTAAAAGGCTATTAGTAATGGCATAATCGAAGCATACATCTCTAGATTATTTACTGTGTATACATAAGATGCACTTATACTCTTGCCATGCACTTCCTTATTTTTACTGTATAGATAGAACATGGTGGTATCTGTTGCGGTTTGGCCGCACCTGGTTGTTTTGGACAGATCCTCCTGTCAGTCTGGAAGCCTTTCCCTTTTCTCTTCTTGTCCTTCGGTTGTTGAGTAGCAGCAGGTTGGATTGGTGGTGCTGATGATGCGTGGCAGGGGTGATTGGTTGAAGACGATCGTGGTTGGCCTCCCTTCGGATGCTGGCGTCGACTTCCTGGGCTATGGTGACAGTACGGGCATAAGTCTGAACGCCGTAACCTACAATGTTATGACGGACTGCTGGCAAAAGCCCGTCGGTGAAACGTCTCGATCTCTTTGCCTCTGTGCTCACCAGATCGGGAACAAAGGCTCCAAGTCGAGTGAATTCTCGCTCATACTCGTCCACTGTACGAGTACCCTATTTAAGCGCCAAAACCTGACGCTCCATTTCCGCTCGATAGTACGCATGATAGTATTTCTCGTGAATCAACTCCTTGAACCTGTCCCACGTACAACCTTCCTTTTCGCCGGGACGCATCCCCAGTAGGCGTTCCACCAGAGGCGTGCATCACCCGTCAACTGGATCTGTGCGCATAAAACACGATAAGGGTCGGGACAGTCCATGACCTCAAAAATCATTTCAAGGCCCTGGACCCATTCGTCCACGATTCGAGGATCTCCTTGGCCGGAAAATTTCTCTGGATGGTAGTCGCGAAACTGGGCAACTACGGTGGCCTGGGGAATCTCCTGATGATCTAGATCCCTAAGTGGCGGCATCCGAATATTGGAAATATTTGACATGATTAAACATAGAGATTGACATAACATGATACATTAACTGAGTGTTAAGACACACAAATTGCTTGACGAGTCACTAACTTGGCCTGGAAATATTGACGTTGAATCATGGATACATTGGACTATAAATTCTGAACAAGACTCGAGCATCCTAATTAAGTCATAGTTGTGGATTTTACTGAGCATAGACATAGTCATTTGTTTATATTAAAAATATAAATCAGGACTTACCTGGTAGTCGGCGAGGCGTGAGCGTGACAGGATCAGGTTTTTATAAAAAAAAATTTGACTCGTAAAAGTATTCAGAGACGCAGAAACGTGCTCTGATACTAACTGTCAAATATTTCCAATATTCAGATGCCGCCACATAGGGATCCAGATCATCAGGAGGTTCCCCAGGCCACCGTAGTCGCCCAGTTTCACGACTACCATCCAGAGAAATTTTCCGGCCAAGGAGATCCTTGAATCGTGGACGAATGTGTCCAGGGCCTTGAAATGATTTTTGAGGTCATGGACTGTCTCGACCGTTATCGTGTTTTATACGCATAGATCCAGTTGACGGGTGACGCACACCTCTGGTGGAACGCCTACTAGGGGATGCGTCTCGGCAAAAAGGAAGGTTGTACGTGGGACAGGTTCAAGGAGTTGATTCACGAAAAATACTATCCTGCGTACTATCGAGCGGAAATGGAGCGTCAGTTTTTGGCGCTTAAACAGTATGAGCGAGAATTCACTCGACTTGGAGCCTTTGTTCCTGATCTGGTGAGCACAGTGGCAAAGAGATCGAGACGTTTCACCGAGGGGTTTTGCCAGCAGTCCGTCGTCACGGCGTTCAAACTTATGCCCGTACTGTCACCATAGCCCAGGAAGTCGACGCCAGCATCCGAAGGGAGGCCTACCACGATCGTCTTCAACCAATCACCCCTGCCCAGTCATCATCAGCACCACCGATCCAACCTGCTGCTACTCAACAACCTAAGGACAAGAAGAGGAAAGGGAAAGGCTTCCAGACTGACAGGAGGATCCGTCCGAAACAACCAGGTGCGGCCAAACCGCAGCAGATACCACCATGCGCTACTTGTGGACGACCCCATCGTGGAGAGTGTCATTTCAGCCAGGACATTTGCTATTATTGTCATCAGCCCGGACATTTTGTCAGCAACTTCCCAGAGCGACCGCAACCACCACAGCAACCACAACAGCAACAGCCCAGACAACAGGCCCCGAGGAAACCCCAGCAGCAGCAGAAGGGCAGACAGCATGCCCGTGTTTTTGACCCAAGTACTATGTCTGAGATGATTATGCTAAATGATGTTCCTTGCAATAAAAACCTCACTAAAAATAAGAACTTCATGGATATCAGCAGTTTAGAGTAATTTGCCAATAAAGAAGCTATCAACAGCACATTCAAATTATAGATTCCATTGACTATCCGATATTTGAATATATTTTACTTGGATCAGAAAAACGATTCAACCGACAAACATCAACATCAATAAAAAACACAATTAGGTGTCAACATTCAAACATATACTCCACGTTCGGCGCTAAACTGGCTCAAATTAGCAATCTTCTAGCTCGAATGCTTGTTGAAACGTGCCGGATGATGTCATTCGGCAAGGTGCAGTTCGGCATAGTGATCCTCAAGTGATATGATCAACAAAAGTGGAAGAATTTTTTTTCCTAACAAAACAAAGAAATCTTACCCATAAGCTATTGAGATAAAGTGATATGCTAACTAACATCAATTTCAAATGAAAAACATAACACTCCCCACTCATTTTTTAACCAAAAAGAAAAAAAGAAAAAATGAAAATAAAAAATTACCAAGATTTCAAACTGTTTGAAAAACATAACACTCCCCACTCACCGATACTTAAAACACAGCCATTTGTTTCCAAACTGTTTGATTATTTCCAGTTTTGATTGAACAAAGAAGGCAAGCACACCGCCGTCGCTTCATGGGTTCTGACGAGACATTGAGATTATTGAAACCCTATTAGTGACGGAGATAAACCAAAAAGGAACAAATTCCGGCGAGGACGCCGGTGGCCATGTAGGCCTCGGTTGGGAGAAAAGGGTCGCTCAGCCCATGGAGGCCATGGGAGGCCTCAGTTGGAATAAAGGATTTATTAGTGGGCCAGGCCTTTGGGTCGGCCCAAGCCATAAGTAACACTAACTTGGATATAATTTGGGTCGCTACAACTAGGCTGTGAACTACTCGGCCCACTTCGTAAAAAGTAAATGAACCCTTAAGCTTGATAACATGCGCGTGTCCTTGAGCCCTAAAATCCACTTCCTCATCGTCGTCTTGCCCATTCATCTCCTCAACTCCGGCCAATTCCCGACCAGTGGCGATAGTAATTGGGAGTAATCGCAAGAGTCTCCGTCTTCAGGCTTCAGGTTTCAGGTTTCTCTGTCTTGCCCTTTTCGACTTTTTAGCTACATTAGTTGCTAAATAAATGCTCTCTACTGTTAGCTGTATTTCTCAACCTTTTTCATGTTTGTCTGGTCATCTTCTTCACATTATACTTGGAATCAAACTGCCCATCAGACAATAGTCTGAATGCTACTGTCTTGATTTGTAGTTGTAAGAATGAGGTGGCCATTTTCAGTATTTTTCATGGAGGAAACCAGACAACTAAGTGGAAAGCGCCCTAAGCTGTCGGATGGAGAGCAAAACATGGATTCAATCGATAGGCTCAGCAGCTTGCCGGACGACGCCATATGCCACATTCTCTCTTTCCTCCCAACAAAGCTCTCAGTGGCGACCAGTGTTCTCGGAAAAAGATGGAGGTTTCTATGGGCCCATGTACCCTGTTTGGATTTCAGTGTATTCGATTTCAATGAAGAAGGAACGCAAGTCTCGGACATCATCGACAGGGTTCTATTGCGGCACAAGGAAAAAAGAATGGATACTTTAACACTCAATGGCGTCAAGTGCAACGAGTTTCAACTGGAGACATTCATTACAACTGCCATCGAACGTAGTATCCGGAATCTTTATCTTGAACTTGACTTGGATACATTCCCTCGATACCTCTTCAACTGCAAAACCATTGTCGACTTGAAGCTTGATAACAAAAGAGCGTCACTCTCTGCTGTGAAAAATGTGTCTCTGCCTAGCCTCAAAAAGTTATATGTTTTTAATCTTATATGTGAGCATGATGATGCACTTCCTCTTTTTCTTTCCGGTTGTCCGTCGATCGAGGAGTTGAATATGTCATTCATGTTTGTGGAAGAAGATGATTACGTGGGCTGCATAAATATATCATCACCCACGATAAAGATGCTTCAGATTGGATTACACAATTCATATAAACTTGAATATAGTATGATAATAAATGCCCCGGCCCTTAGGTATCTCGAAGTGCTTGGCTATGACTTGGAGTGTATAACAATTCCTATAACCTTGATCTCCTTAGTTGAGGCAGATATCAGCTTAGATTATTGTTGCTTCTCATATCTCGAAACGAATTACAATTCCACGGTGGTGAAGTTTCTTCATTCTCTGTCTTATGTAAAGTGTCTAAAGATATCATGTTGCGAATTTGAGGAGGTATGTTTTGATTCTTCAGTCTCTTAGGCTTCCTGTCAATTAGCTTTCGGCTTTCTTGTTATATATATGTGTAATGTGGTTTTAATATTTTCAGTTTGTTCATAGAGGGATTGCTTGTTCAACTATAAAGTTTGATAATTTAACAAAACTTGAAGTCCTATTGAACTTCAAATGGAGTGTGCTTGTAAAGTTCCTTGAAGTTGCTGATAATCTTGAAGTCCTTACTGTCTTTACTGTAAGTGGAGTTTATCGCTGACGCAATTAAATTTGTCTTTAGTCGTTTCTCGTTTTTCTTACAGCAATAGCTCCTTTTGTTCTACTCATTTTGTTATGCTCCTTTTAGTGGCATCGCGTTCAATCTGGAAAGAGATATTTATGTCCGGAGCCAGAACAAGTGCCTAAATGCTTATTATCCAGTCTAAGAACTATAGAAATTACATGGATGAAATTCAAAGAGCATGAATTTGACATGATCAGATATCTTTTGAGGAATTCTCGAGTATTGGAGAGGATGGAACTATTTTCTGCATGTATTGATCTGAAAATGCAATTACAAGCTCTTAAGAGAATTTCATTGTGTGAGCGAGGATCCAACGCATGTCAGCTTGACTTCCTTCCGGATTGGCGACAACTTTAATGTTCCTCAAATTCTGTAGTAACTATTTTGACTTGCATATGTTTTGTTGCAATTGTGGTACGACGAAAATTTTGGTTATGTAACTTGATGATTATTCATAAACTCCGAAGTGTTATGTTCTGTGTTGCTCAAGTTTTACTGTTTTAGTGGCATTTGTACTCACCCTTGTTGCAGTAGTAGCTGCTCTTTTACCAGCAATTACCTTAAAGAATTGACTGAAAAATTCTCAACTACTTTTGTTTTGAGTTTAAGCTTCAATGTACATATTATTGGCATGTTTTGAGGCTTCAATACATGTGACAAGATAAAAGTATTTTTAAATCACTTTCCTAATAATCGTTCTCTTTGTTTTTAAATAATGAGCAATTTTATTATATGTTTTCTTAAAACAAATAGCAAAATAACCAAACTTGAAATGGCAAAAAATTAAAATAAAATAAAATAAATAATTGAAATATTTTATAATGAACGAAAATTAGCATAATGTGTATTTTTATATATAAAAAATATATATTAAATATGGTATCTTAATTACATTAATAAAGTCTAGTTGCCAGAGGCTCAGAGCAACATATTGGTTAGACCATAATGAGTTCAAACTACACAGTTGAAACTAATTAAATTTCATTCAACATGTAAACGACTTAAGGAGAAAAAAATATTCCCTTTTAAATATTTACTAGAATTTTTATTTATTATTATTATTATTATTATTATTTATTTTTGGTAGACTTACAACATTCAAAGGGGCCATGTTTGCCGCCCTTGTGGTCCTACTCGGCTCGATTCCAGATTAGTCGGTTCCCCTGTGGATCCAGAAACCAGAAGGTCCCTGTACAAAAAAAAAAAAAAAAAAGGCCATGTTTGGTAGAAACCTCCATCTTTTCCCGAGAATGTTGGTCGCCACTGAGAACTTTGTCGGGACGAAAGAGAGAATGTGCCAATGTGGCATATGACTTCGTCTGGCAAGCTGCTGAGCCTATCGATCGAGGCCATGTTTTGCTCTCCATCTGAAAGCTTTGGGCACTTTCGACTTGGTTGTTTGGCTTCCTCCATGTAAATTCTGACAAAAGGACCCTTATTCTGACAACTACAAAACCAAGGCAGTGGCATTCAGAGGAGAACAGGATTTAGACTTTAGTCTGATGGGCAGTTTAATTCTAAGTACAATGTGATGAGACAAATATGAAAAGGTTGAGACATCTATATATAAACTAGTACGTAACACGTGCGATGCACGGAACAGAAATATTAAATGAGTTATTTTCACATGTTTTGTCCGTTTAAGTATATAAAACAATAGGATTATCATCTATTTTTCATCTTTTTTAATCAACGTTAAGTATAATAAACAATAAGGTTATAATATATTTTGCACATTTTTAATCAACGTTATTTTTTAGTCAAAATATTAAAATAATTAATATATTATTTCACTAACACATTTATCCTAATTTAAATTTGAATTTTAGTATATATATGTATTCCTTGATATAAGAGAGAATAACAATCTTACTTATTCTTGTTCACCATATGATACTTAAATATAATTTTATTATACACTTTATGTTATATAATGTAATTATTATTTATAAAGTTATAGAAGTTGTACGTCTTCTTTTTATTTTTATTTTTATTTTATGTAATGAAAAATATTTAATGCACGTTGGTATTATTTATTCATGTAATCAATTTAAAATATGTAAATAAATTTAATATTAAATAGTGTATAAATATTTTACAAAATATAGACATGTTTTTTTAGAATATAATTTTGTATACTAATTAAACAACTTTTATTTAGAAAATGCAAAAAACTCGATCTCCTCTATGATCATGATTTTTCTAATCCACATTATAAGAATTTATGGTTTATTTAGCATGCTCAGCAATGAAAATATATTTTACAAGAACTTAATTATAGAAATAAATCAAAATAAAAAAATGAAAAAATATAATCATGGGTGCCAATAATATACGAATAAATTCTAAACAATAGTTAATATGTTTCAATTTTAATTTTTTACCATTACTAAAACTATTTATTGTATCTGGTATCTCTTAAATTGTAAATTATATTAATTTGAAGAACGATTTATTTTTTATATTTAACAAAATAAAGCTTAAGAAACAAATATATTGGCAAAGATTAATTCACCAACTTGATTTTGTCTGATTACTTGGAAAGAAAATTCTACCTAACCTGTTACGATTGTCCATAAATATTTTTGGATAAAAAGTGAATATTTGTGAAAATAAAATAATAATATTATGGTTAGAACTTAAACTATGGTGTAATATTATCTTGACCAAAATATTATCAAATGGATCACATAAATCAATCTTGTAATTTATTTTAATGAATATCAATGAAAGTATTACAAATATTAATAAGATAATATTTATCTTGACCAAAGTATTGTCAACATTAATCACGAAAATCAATCTTGTAATTTATTATAATAAATATCAATGAAAATACTGCAGATATTAATAAATTTATTTAAATAAATATTTGATCATATGTTATTTGATCTTACTAGTACGTAACCCCGTGCGATGCACGGGCTGTATTTATTTTGGTAAAATTTATAAGTAAATTATTAATCAATAAGTTATAATACATAGAGTATTTGCTAGGTAATCATAAATTGTTCTTCATGAAAAAGTCATACATTATTAAGAACATCGTCATTTTTCCATGAAAAATTACTTTGCACTTGGCAATCGTAGACCGATATTTACCAAGATTGCTCTCCACTTGGTACTTGCGAACTGCATAGACACCTTCTTAATTTTTTATTTTTTTTGTTGATTTTTGTTATGTTAGCACCACAAAATAAAATTATAGTGTAAATATGTAATATTGTGATAAATACTAAAGATATGATTTATCTGGTGTAGTTTAATTTTATATATATAGAATATAAGAAAAGTTGTTACCTTAAAGTGTGGATTTTGTGTATATCTTTTTTTTTCAATCATTCTCATTTTTTATTCCAAATTCATCCCAATATTGAGAACAATTTTGTTTTTATTATGTTTTAACAGAGATTTGAATTTTTTATTGTATCTTTTGTAAAATAATATTTACAAAAATAATTTCGTTAAAAAAAAAAATAACAACGATATTTTATCATTTGTAGCTCAAAACTAACTAAATGAATGGGATAACATTAAATCACTATTTTTAAATGAAAAAAAATATTTCATAAATAATTTGATAAAAAAATAATTCAAAATGATAAAAATATCTTGATAATATAAATAAAAAGTTGTTTACATGCGTAGTAGAATAGTGAATCGAATATTGTGGCAATTTTTAAAAACATGTTACCATGATTGAAATGAAATGTTTACTAAATTTTTTACTTGTAGATAAGTTGCATATATTGTATAACTATATATAAAAAAATAAAAAATTTAAAGTTCAAATTTGCGATTAATTTATATGTATATAATAAAGTGTACAAACGAAATAATTAAATATTTTTATTTATCATTTATATTATTAATATTGATACCATGGTTATTGTAAAATTCTACTCTCATTTTTACGGCAAATTTATGTTATATTAAAATGAATTGAAAAGTCTAAAAAGGGATATAGATTGAATTAAAAATATTGAATCTTTTTTTTTTCCAATTAAAAATATTGAATCGGCGTTAAATTATTTGATTCCATAATTAAACTGATTTTAAAATAATACATCATAATATTTGATTCCATAATAACATTGCTTTTAAATAGAATTGATTCCAAACAATCGCATTTAGTGTTTAATCAAATATTATGGAATATATTTTAAAACACTAAATCCGGTTGTCGAGTGAAGTTAAAACTGATTGCAATTAATGCTTTGAGGTTTGTTTTAAGGAATTGTATAAAATTACTATAATTAGGATGTAATTAATGCATAATGGCAAGAAATACTCATTATATTTGATTTGCATTCTTATTATATATATATATATATAGATAATGTAAAATAATATTGATATAAAAATATTATTTAATGTAATTTATCAGGAAATAAAGGTAAAATATCAATTTGTAGTTATAAGAATACAAATGATTAAATAGTAATTTTTGTAATAAATTTGTAGAATGTTAGATTTCTTATTAAACATTGTATTAAAAATACTAAAAAATAAAATAAATAAATAATATATATATTTAATTTGTGGAAGGATAAATACCTTTGAGGTGTAAGAGGTCAAACAGGAAGCAGTGGAGATGTACGACCATGTCCATGCCGAAATTATATTATTCCATAGAGTTTGCCTACATATTAGCAAATTGAGATTGTATCAGTTTATTCCTAAAATTATGGATGTATCAGTTTATTCCAGATATCAATATCTAACCAAATTTTGAAAAGTGAATAAA